TGACTGATGATAAATGTCTAGTACATATTGATAGCACATTGCCTCTTCTTGTAGCATGTGATGCACTGCAGTATGGAGTTGGAACAGTTTTGGCCCACTGTTTCCAAGATGGTACTGAGACGCCAATTGCGTTTGCATCTCGTACACTGAGTGATACAGAGAAGAAGTATAGTCAATTTGAAAACTAGGGTCTGGCATGTGTCTTTGGGGTTATTAAAATTCATTGTTACTTGTATGGTCATCATGTTTCCTTAATTACTGACCACAAGCCTCTACTGTCTTTACTGGTTGGTCAAAAACCTATTTCAAGTCAATCATCAGCTCGTATTCAATGATGGGCATTGATTCTAGCAGCATATGAATATGATTTACACTTTAAGTCTTCTGCTAATCATGCTAATGCTGATGCATTAAGCTGCCCTTCCATTAAGTGAATTGATTAGCAATACTCCCCTACCTCCAGAATTAATTCTTTTAATGGAGAACATAGCTAATAGACCTATTGCTGCTAAAAGTGTTGCTGCTGCTACTAAGTCAGACTCTACTCTATCCCTGGTTCTACAGTATCTGAAGTCAGGATGGTTCACTGAAGTCTTACTAGTATAGACAGCATCAGTTATCTCTGCATGATGGATGCATACTCTGGGCTTCTCAAGTACTTATTGCTGCGAAATTTTGCCAACATTTACTACTTGAATTGCAAGGTTATTTTGGCATTACTAAATTGAAAGCTAGAGCATGATCGTGTATATGGTGGCCTAATGTTGATACTGCTAAAGACGAAATGGTAAAGAGTGGTTCTTCTTGCCAGGAAAATTGCAATTCACTTCCTGAGGCTCCCATTCATTCTTGGCCATGGCCATCCTGCACTTGGTCCCACCTCCATATTGATTTTGCCGGTTCTTTGAAGAATAACACTATGCTATTAGTAATTGTGGATGCATTTTCTAAGTGGATTGAAGTATTTCCCCTGTGTACTGTTACTTAATGAGCTACTAGCTCTAAATTAAAAGTGCTCTTTGCACAGTTTGGTTCGCCTGATACTATCGTCTCTGACAATGGCCCTTCACTTGTAAGTCAAGATTTTGAATCATATCTCACTCAATATGGTATTCACCATATTACCTCTTCACCATACCATCCTGCCTCTAATGGGTTGTCTGAAAGAGCTGTTCAGCTAGTCAAGAATGGTCTTAAGAAATTGCTGATGGTACACTGTCTGAGAGACATGCATGTATTCTCCTTAATTACAGGTTTATTCCTCATTGTACCACTGGTGTTTCTCCCTCATAACTGAAGTTCAGAAGTATTATAAGTCTAAGGTGGATTTGGTGAAACCAGATCTTACCACTCGAGTAGAGAATAACCAGTATAAGCAGAAGGAATTCCATGATTAGCAATCTTGTACTAGAAAATTTTTAGTAGGGGAGGGAATAATGTATAGAAATTTTAACGGAGATGAAAAGTGGAAACCAGGGAAAATTACGAAGTACCTCGGTTCACTATCTTTTTTAAAGGTGGATTTGGTGAAACCAGATCTTACAACTCGAGTAGAGAATAACCAGTATAAGCAGAAGGAATTGCATGATCAGCACTCTTGTACTAAAAAATTTTTAGTAGGGGAGGGAATAATGTATACAAATTTTAACGGAGATCAAAAGTGGAAACCAGGGAAAATTACAAAGTACCTCGGTTCCCAATCTTTCTTGATTTTAAGGAGACGATGGAACTATTATTAGGAGACAGATGGATCATATAATTAAGAAGAAAGGGTCTATGGTACCCGAGGGTGATTTTACACAATTCCTGAATACTGATCGAATGACGGAGGAAACTCGTACTACTCGTTCCCTGTATCCAACTCGTTGTCATCTTCCTCCAAACAGGTACACCCCTTCCTTACTTAAGTTAGGGGGATGTAGTGACTGTATTCGCATACATGAATTATTATTGTTATTGTTGTAATTATTATTGTTAATGTTATTATTGTTGTTGCTGTTATTGTTATTATTATCGTTGTTGTTATTGTTGTGTAGCTCCAAGAGTGTAGCTCCTTATCTAGAGATCTAGCACTACATATACCATCTGCTCTCAACACATACGTGACATATGTAGTATGAGGCTCAGAACCTTTTCTAATACTGGCCCAGATAAAAGCCAACCGAGGCTTGTATTAAATGCTGTGGGTCCTTGAGTCTCCTTTGCTCCTTGTATTAAATGCTGTGGGTCCTTGAATCTCCTTTGCTACCTCTCTAGTTGCAAAAGTCCAGTACTGATTGAACCTATCAAGATATCTGGCCGTATCTGACTAGAATGATCATAATCCATAGTTAAGTCTAACTCATTAAGGTACTTTTGGATGAAATTTTAATATTTTTTTAATTGATGCCATTTTATAGGAAATAAAAAGTTGTACACCTTGTGCTATTTTTAAATTTTTACCATACACTGTATATAAGTTATAGATCATTGAACTTTAAATATAAAAAAAAAATCCTGCATAACTTTTCATACTTTATGAACTTACTTGTTGCATTTACTAAGCAAATTTAGTTCCCTTTTTTCATTGTAGATTCAGTTGCAGTTGAAGCTGATATTCTCATTTGCCTTGTGTACAGTAGCATTTATCGGACATGGATTTTAACATATAAACAACTAGCAATTTATCATTTTATTGATTGCATGTCATAACACTACTTTTTTCTATTACCTGATGGAGTTTTGTTATCATTAATAATTCTGTTCATTTTGTAGTAATTTTTGAAGTACCATTTCAAGAAAGTCAAGGCATTAATGTTTAGCAATGAATATTGTTATTGCACTATTGACATTAACCATGAATATCATTAATCTTTTTATGAATATAGTTTAATCTGACGTCATCCTACATGCTAATGCGGAAGTCACATGACTTCTGTGAGTATATTCATGGCTTTTGGCAGTAAAAGGGGTGGGTGTGCCATGTCACTGAAATAAAGATGGCCGTCTGTCCTGTTTGATTCTCTGTAAGCTCCTCCTCCTTCAGCTGTACGTGCATAAGGGAAAGCCTCTATCTCGGCATAGATCTCGGCCCCTGGTTCTCTGAAGTACAAGCTAAAGCCACAAATTGAGCAACAATGCTTTATACTGACATGGTAGCTATCTTATTGACTTTGATTGTAGATCTAAATGCAAAAGCAGCAGAGATCACTTTTTCCTTAGCAAAGAAGTTTCCAGAACCACTGATAAGTTTTGTGATCAAATGCACACTTTATTCCTTTTTAGAAAGGAATACACCTGTGAGTTAAGCAACAAATCTTTGATATAAGGGACAAAGTCCTTGTGTAGAGGTCTGACTTTTGAAGACGGTGGTGATTCACTATTTTACTATTCTAACTTGCAACAATATCCTGTTCCAATTAACTCTATACTATCACTAGTTTTGCCAGATTAATCATTAAAAGTATAACATTAACACTGTTTTATCTGTATAATCATATTACTAGTTTTAAAAATAAGAATATTAAAATAATTGATCATTAAAAAAACAACATAAAACAATGAGTAAATAAAAACAAAAAATTGTAGAGCTGTTAACTTTGTACTAGTATTAGTACTTTCAGCCGAGTTTTTATGGACCTATTAAGGTACACACACATAAAACTTCAAGTTTAATAACATAAATCTACATGTAGACACTCTAAAAAAGGTAATGTTGATGCTTTTAAGGCGAAAATGCTCACAAGGCAAAACTCAACATTTGCAATGGTGCATGCCACATTTTGTT